CCCATGTGTACTATACATGGAGTGGAATGACAGATCTTTTTAGCTGGATAAATTGAAAGTACAGGGGCCAGCATGTGACGTGGTGGTTAAGATGCTGGACTCCCACCAGCAATTCACCTCCCAGACCTGGTGGCTTGCTTTGTCACTTCCCCTCTCTGAACACATGCAAAATTTAAAAATAATAATTAAAAAGTTTTTTAAAGAATGAAAGTACAAAACAAGAGAAAATGAAAATGAAAGTACACTTCTGAGAAGTAGGAGAGGGCTGGCTCTGAGGGTGGATACTGTCTCATATATACTTACTTTCAAATTTTTTAAAAATTTAATCATTTTAAGAGATTTGATATAGGGCACATGCGTTCGCCAGATAGGCAGAAAAAGTGAGAAATCACCCTCCAGGGGGATGGCCACACTGCAGTCCCTTCTCCCCCAATATGCACTTCTTAAAAAAGCTATTTTAAGGACTAGCAGTTAGTGTAATGGCTATGTCGCTGGATTCCCACGTAGTTGACCGCGGTTCGCATCCTGGACCCGGTGGCTTAAAACTCACGCCGGGTGTGTGTGTGTGCGTGCCCAAGATCCCGAGAGGAGAATGGAGAAGGGATTGCAGCGTGGCCATCCCCCCGGGGGGTGATTTCTCGCTTTCTGTCTCTCTGTCTCTCTCTGTCTGGCGAGTGCACATGCCCTATAGCAAAAAAAAAAAAACAAACAAAAAAAAACTCTTAAAAAAAAAAGCTGTTTTAGGGGCCATCAGGTGGTATAGTGGATAAGGTGCTGGACTCCCCATGTGGCCAACTGCAGTTTGAGTTCTGAACCCAGTGTCTTGAAAATAATGCTATGTGGGACCAGCAGATGGCATAATGGTTACATTGCTGGACTCCCATGTAGTCATCCGTGGTTTGAGTCCCAGACCCAGTGGCTTAAAGCTCATGCTGGGGCACATGTGTGTACATGCCCAAAATCTTAAGAGGAGACTGGAGGAGACTGTGTGGTCTGTCTCCCCTTTGGGGTGATTTCTTGTTTTCTGTCTCTCTGGAAAGCACACATGCCCTATATCAAAAAATCTCTTAAAAAAAAAAAAAGAAGAAGAAGAAGAAAGAAAATCATGCACGGTGCATGTGCGTGAGTACTCAAAATCCAAAGAGGAGAATGGAGAAAGGATGGTGGCTTGTATTTCTCTCTGTTTCTCTCTGGCAAGTGCATGCACCCCACAGCAAAACCCCCCAAAAAATGCTGTTTTAAGTGGTAAAATATACATAAGATTAAATTGACCATTTAAACCCTTTTTGTTTTTAGCGAGAGATTTTTGCTATAGGATGGTGTGCTCATTGGAGAGATAAACAGAGACAGAAAGTGAGAAATCACTCCTGGGATGGAGGATGGCCACACCACAACCCCTTCTCCTCATCTCCTCTCAGGATATTGGGCACATATATACACATGCCCATTGTCTGTTCCTAGCTGCCAGGCCTGGGACTCGAACCACAGTTGCCTAAATGGGAGTCCAGTGATATAACCATTATGCCATCTGCTGGTCCCTCATGTAAACCTTTTTTTAGAGTACAGTTTTCAGTGGCATTCTTTTGCATTCACAACCATCACCCACTGTACAGCTCCAGAATTTATCTGGCATCCCAAACTGAAACCATACTTATTAGCCAGTGGCTCACCAAAACCCCTTTCTGCCAGTCTCTGGGAACCACTTATTCTTCCTTTTGCTGTGAATTTGACTAATCTCAGTAGAATCAGAAAAACGTTTTAATAGTACAGTTTGTATTTGGTTGTCAAGAAATGCAGTTTTATTGTTTCTGTGTCTAGTAACTTTGCTTAATACTTAATCCTTTTTTTTTTTTTTTAAGAGAAATTTTTTGCTATAAGGCATGTGCCTTCACCAGGGAGAGAAAGAGAGAGAGAGAGAAGAGAGAAATCACCCCCATGGGTGAGGTGGCCACACCACAATTCCCTGTCCTCCATTTTTTCTCTTGGGATTTTGGACACTCACACACGCCCAGGATGAATTTCAAGTCGCGGGGTCCGGGACTCAAACTGCGTTCAGCCATGTGGGAGTCCAGTGCCTTCGTACACTATATTCTGGCCCCGCTTAATACTTAATTCTAATGAACTGTATTTGGGTTTTCTACATAAATAAGCATAAATTAAAAACCTTTCTTACTGTTAAGCCTACCCATTGAGTTTTATTTTAAGAAGTTATTTATTTAATTTTATTTATCATTATTATTTTTAAAATTTTCCTATAGGGCACATGTGCTTACAAGAGAAAAAGAGAGAGAGAGAAAGAGAAAGCAAGCCACCAGGTCTGGGACACAGAATGCTGTCAGCCATGTGGGAGTTCAGTGCCTTAACCACTATGCCACCTGTTGGCCTCTACTGTTACTTTTTAAAATTTGCTATAAGGCGAGAGAGAGAGAAAGCTGCCAGGTCCAGGACTCAGAATAGCGGTTGACCATGTGGAAATTGAGTATCTTTAACCACCACACATTACCTGTTGGCCCCTCTATTGAGTTTTAAATTTTAAAACAAATTTTAATTTGTTTTGTCATCAGACATACCGACTCTGTAGAAATAAGGAGTAATGCAGTTTATTTCTAAGCATGAGTGTCAGTGACCAGGCCTGTAGAAAGGTAAATGTGTTTTTCTCTGGGTGATCAGAGTAGGGGTTCCTTTTATTCAGTTTTGAGGGTGAGAGACAAGGCTTGGAATTTAGTGAAGGTTCTTTTTCCATTGGTCTGGCCCAAAAAGGTGGGATATCCAGGTGGGGTTGAGGGAGGGCTTGTAGGTTATAGGTGGGTTTTACAGTTTGGGTGGTGATTAGAAAGGAAGGTCTGTGTTTCCGGAAGGGATCAGCAAAAGAATGTACTTAACAGAGATAAAGCTAGTATTAGTCACAGAGATGCTATGCCAGAGACAAGATACAGAGAGAGTTCTGTTATCAGTGGGCCAAAATAATCTGTTAATGTTTCTGGGTGTGACTCACCCTAGATTTTTTGGAAAGAATTTTGGAAAATAGGAAAAGCAATCAGACTTATGTCCTCAGTTATATAGTTATTTTGTACCTAGAAGTAGCTTGTTTCATTTTCAGATCTGCTGGTTGTATGTTCAAACTTACCTTTTATTCCTTTTAATATATTAAGGATCGTTATATGATACAACTCTGATATGAACTCATTGACAGTCTAATTTTGCTCGTCCTTTCTGTGGTGCCTTTTTTTTGTTTTAATGTGTACATTCTTTTTTTTTTAGAATTATTTATTTAATTTTTAAATTTATTCATCTATTTATTATTTTAATTCGACCAAAGAGAGAGAGAGAGAGAGAGAGAGGAAGTGAGAAAGCAAGCCACCAGGTCCAGGACTCGAACCATGGTCAGCCATGTGGGAATGTCCAGCATCCTAACCAACACGCCACCTGCTGGTCCCTACATTCTTTTCCTCTTTATTTATTTATTTATTTTTAAGGTTTTTCCTTAGGCACATGCACTCACTAGAGGGGGACAAAGGGAAAGTGAAAAATCTCTCCTGGGGGGACAGCCATGTTGTAATCCCTTCTCTTCCAGTCAGTCTCCTCTTGTGATTTTGGGCATGCACATACACATGCCTGGCATGATTTTGTGGTGGTGGTCAAGAATTATTACTTCTAATTTTATTTATTCATTCATTTATTTTAATTTGGAGAGAGAGAGAGAGAGAGAGAGAGAGAGAAAGTGAGAAACCAAGCCACCAGATCCAGAATTCGAACTGTGGTCAGCCAAGTGTGAGTGTCCAGCGCCTTAACCACCTCGCCACCTGCTGCACCACCCCCTCCCACCATGTGATTTTTTTAAGCTTCTAAGTCCAGGACTCCAACCATGGTCAGCCATGTGGCTTAACCACCATGCCACATGCTGGCCTTTCTCCTTTTTAAGGATAATCTCATGTCTCTGTCCTCCTGCTTCAGCCTCCCAGCTGGGACAACATGTGCATGGTACTATGCCTGGCTATTTTTATTTTTATTTTTTCTAGACAAGTTCTTGTTATGTTGGCCAGGTCAACCTTGAGCTCACAGTCCTCTTGCCTCAGTATCCTGGGTCACTGGAATTATAGGTCCAGGCCACTATGCCAGGCCTTTAAACTTGAGCCAGGAAGTGGTCCCGGCCTGCAGAATAGCAGGGCAGTAACAGCATGCACCACTGTGCCTGTCCCTTTTGTATGTACTTTATCATTTCAATTATTAACTCATTTCTTGGAAGGCTATTTCTGCCCGATGCTTAGTAACAATACTGACATAAGACCGCTTCAAATGAAATTCTTGATCCAATGGTTTTGGAACCATTTGGTAAAATTTGGACTGTAAGCCTGTTTAAGACCTGGTTTGTGGTTCTGACCTCTAAGGATTTCTTGCTATTCTGTGTTCCCGTGTTGCGGACACTTTCACCAGGACAGTTCTTGTGATCTAGGGATGGTGTGGAGCTCACTCTTACAGTGAGAGTATGTTAGGGTCACAGCTTTATGCGGAATCTCATGCTAGAACCCCCATGTCAGGCTTTAGTCTTTGCTTCCTGTGCTTTGTCCTGCAGAGCTATGAAATTTACCTGCTTTGGCAAATGCACTCAGTGTAAAGGGCCTCCTTCCAGTTACTAGTTCCCCTTCTCTTTGGCTTCTCTCCTCTTCCAACTCAAGGCATTTATAAAAGAGATTTTTACGTTTTATCAGATACCTGAAGTTATTTTTCATGAGGAATATATATTGGGTCGTCAGAAAAGTCATGGCACATTTTTGCATTAAAAAAAATAGAAAAATGTCATGACTTCTCTGATGACCCAATAAATCAGAGTAGTGACTCCATCAAACTGCTGGAAATTCCCGTATCATTTTACTGTGTCCTTTCTAGCCATTTTGGAGATGATGTATGGAGCTAAATGAGCACCTTAAACATTTGTTTAAAAAAAAAAAATGGAGAGAGGCTGTTATAGTTGCTAATTAAAGATATTTCTTTTTTCACAGGTGTCAGCTGTGATGCATGTTTAAAAGGAAACTTTCGAGGTCGAAGATATAAGTGTTTAATTTGCTACGATTACGATCTTTGTGCATCTTGTTATGAAAGTGGTGCAACGACAACAAGGCATACAACTGACCACCCAATGCAGTGCATATTAACAAGGGTAGATTTTGGTAAGTAAGCAATTCAGATTTTAATGGATTTACACTTCGAATTTGTGCAATGTGTGTGAAGTAAAGACAAAATTTTAAGATTGTCCCCAAAGTATACATGAGGCCCCAAATTCATTAAAACTAAAGGTGAATCTTTTATACTCTAATTCTGTCTTTTAATCTTAGTTTATTTGTTCATGAAAACCGTTCTGAATTATAGGCAGCTGACCAGGTGTGTAAAGAAGGCATAATGTTGGGGCCAGCAGGGGGCATGGTGGTTAAAGGTGCTAGACTCCCACATGGCTGACTGCTATTCGCGTCCCAGACCTGGTGGCTTGCTCTCTCTCTCTTTTCTTCCCTCTGACTCTCTCTGGTCAAAATTGAAAACTAATGATAAAAAATAAATAATTCTTTTTAAAAACTGGGTAGGGGCCAGCAGGTGGCAGGATGATTGAGGCACTGGACTCCCATATGGCTAACCATGGTTCAAGTCCTGAACCTGGCGGCTTGCTTTCTCACTCTCCCTTTCTCTCTGTCTCTCTCTGGTCAAAATGGAAGAATAATGGCAATAAATAAAATTTAATATAAATAAATCTTTTAAAAAAATGTATAATGCCAAACCACCTGTTCTTGCTAAATAGCACATACATACTAGGTCTTCCTCTAATTCTTTTTTTTTTTTTTTAAGAATTGTTTTATTTTTACTTTACTTATTTTAATTTGACCAAGAGAGATAGAGTGAGAAAGAGACAGAAACAGAGAGAGAGAGTGAGAAAGCAAGCCACCAGGTCCGGAACTTGAACCTCAGTCAGCCATGTGGGTATCCAGCGCCCTTAAGCACCATGTCACCTGACGGCCCCTTGCTCTAATTCTTAGAGAGCACATTGTTTCTACAGTGGACTAGAGAACAATACCCATCTATGAGAAAAGCTATATATATATATATATATGGTTTTTAAGGTAATTATTTAATTGTGTTCATCATCATTATTTTAATTTGCTATAGGACATACACACTCACCAGAGAAAGAGAGAGTGAGAAAGCAAGCTTCCAGCTCCAGGACATAACCTGTGATCAGCCTTGTGGGAGTTCAGTGCCCTAACCACCACACCCCCTACTGGCCCACACTCTATATATATCTTATGCTGTTATTTCTTATCTAGCCAGTGGTTGTTATTATCTGATTATAGCCATCCTAGTGGATGTAAAAGTAGTATCCAGTGATTTTGATTTGCATTTTTCCGATAACCAGTGATATTCAGTATCTCTTTTTGTGCTTATTGGTCATTTATATAACTACTTTGAAGAACTGTCCATTCATATCCTTTGCCGTTACGTTATGTTATGTTTTGTTTTGTTTTTGCTTTAGGGTACGTATAATTGTTGGAGAGACAAAGAGAAAGTGAGAAATCACCCCCCAGGTGGGATGGCCATGCTGCAATCCCACCTCCACCACTCCTCTCAGGATTTTGGCATATGTACATACACACTGTTGTGAATTTCAAGCTGTTGGGTCCAGGACTTGAACAGTAGTCGGCCATGTGGGAGTCTATCACCTTAACCACCACACCACTTGTTGGAATCCTTTTGCCCATTTTTTAATTAATGCATCTTTATTATTGAATCGTTATAGTTTTTCCCCTTTCAATTTTCTATTATAGGGTATGCACACTCACCAGAGCAAGAGAGAAAATGAGAAATTATCCTCGCCCCCAGAGTGGACAGCCACACTGTAATCCCCTTTCCATTCTCTTCTTGGGATTTTGGGGATGCGCATAAATGCACCCATTGTATTGTTTAAGCTGCCCAATCTGGGAGGGACTTGAACTGTGCAGTGGGCCATATGAGATCCAGCCATCTTAAACTCCATGCCACCTACTGAACTAATTATTCTTTATATTTTCTATATACAGGTCCTTATCAGGTCAGTGATTTCTAAAACTTTTCCATTATTTTGTGGTTCGTCTTTTCACTTTCTTGATGACATGCTTTGAAGCACAAAAGTTAATATTGACAATTTCCAGTTTATATTTTTTGTGTGCTTTTTTTTTTTCTTTTTTGAGAAGTTTTTGCTATAGGGCACATGTGCTCGCCTGAAAGACAGAGACGGAGAGACAGAAAGTGAGAAATCACCCCCCAGGGGGGATGATCACACCACAATCCCTTCTCCTCCTCCATTCTCCTCTCAGGATCTTGGGCATGCATGCACACGTGCCCGGCATGAGTTTAAGTCACCGGGTCCGGGACTTGAACCTCAGTCGACTACATGGGAGTTCAGCAACATAGCCATTACGCTAACTGCTGGTCCTTGTATATGTGCTTTTGATAGCATATACCAAAAATCATTGCCTAATATAAGATGTGGAAGATTTGAACCTATGTGTTCTTTTCTTTTTTTTTTTTTTGAGAGTTTTTTTTGCTATAGGGCGTGTGCGCTCGCCAAACAGACAGAGAGAGACATAGAGACAGAAAGCGAGAAATCACCCCCCAGAGGGGATGGTCACGCCGCAATCCCTTCTCCATTCTCCTCTCGGGATCTTAGGCACGCACGCACACGCACCCGGTGTGAGTTTTAAGCCACCGGGTCCGGGACGCGAACCGCAGTCGACTACGTGGGAGTCCAGCGATATAGCCATTACACTAACTGCTGTGAACCTATGTGTTCTAAGAGGGGTTTTTTGGATAGGTTTTTGCTATAGAGCGGGTGCGCTCGCCAGACAGACAGAGACAGAGAAACAGAAAGCAGAAATCACCCCCCAGGGGGGATGGCCATGCTGCAATCCCTTCTCCTCCATTCTCCTCTCAGGATCTTGGGCACACATGCACACGTGCCTGGTGTGAGTTTTAAGCCACCGGGTCCGGGACGCAAACTGTAGTCGACTACATGGGAGTCCAGATAGCCGTTAGGCTAACTGCTGGTCCCAATTTTTGTAGTTTTTTAAAAAATTTTGAAATCGAGGGGACCAGCAGGTGGTGTAGTAGATAAGGTGCTGGAAACTCCCACATGGCCGACCGCGGTTCGAGTACCAGGCATGGTGGCTTGCCTTCTCACTTTTTCTCTCTCTCTCTCTTTGTATGTGTGTGTGTATATCTCTGGTAAAATTAAAATAAATAAATGAATAAATAAATAATAATAAATTTTTTTTTTGAAATCAAGACCAGTAGATAGCATAATGGTTACATCAATGAACTCCCACATAGTCAACTGTGGTTCGAGTCCTGTGCATGATGACTTAAAACTCACGCCAGGCATGTGTGCGTGCATGCCTGAGATCCTGAGAGGAAAATGGAAAAGAGGGGTTTGCAGCGTGGCCATCTCCCCAGGGAGGGGGTGGTGAGTCCTTGCTCTGTGTCTCACTCTTTCTCTCTGTCTTGCTGGAAAGCACAAGTGTCCTATGGCAAAAATATTTTTAAAAATAAATAAATAAATAAAAGGCAAACTAATTTACAGAGTCATCACACCCCTTATCCAGATTCCTCCATTGAATGTGTTTTGAAGTATTTTATTCCTTTTTCTGTTGTATATGGGACCTTGAAAATTTTTTGAGTTGTTTACTTAAAAAATCAAGCAGTTGATTTTTTTCTATATAAATCTTGTATCCTACAAGGTTGCCAAGCTTGTTTATTAGTTCTAATAGTTTTTTAGTGGATTTCTTGGGACTTTCTATATACAAGGTCGTATCATCTGCAAATAGAGTTCTTTTTTTTAAATTTTATTCATTTATTTTATTTTACTTTATTTTATTTTGAATTTGACCAGAGAGAGACAGAGAGAAGGAAAGTGAGAAAGCAAGCTGCCAGGTCAGGACTCGAACCATGGTCAGCCATGTGGGATTCCAGCTGCCTTAATCACCATGCCACCTGCTGGCCCCCAAAGAGAGTTCATTTTACTTCTTCATTTCCATCTGGATGCCTCTCATTTACGCTGGTTAGATCTTCCAGTAAAGTACTGACTAGAAATGGCAAGACTGGACACCCCTGTCTAGTTTCTGATCTTAGGAGGAAAGCATGCAGTCTTTTACCAGTAAGTATGATGTGGCTGTAGTTTTCTAATGCCTTTTACCAGGTAAGGGTGTTCTATTCTTTTTAATATACTTATCTTCAAATCTACCTGGCAAGTTTTACAGACATACTAAATGGCCAGTATATACATAGTGAGTAAAAACTTTGAAAGTCGTATAATACATCTCCCTAAAAAATGAACATGTGCAAACCTATTGTGTAATGAACATTTTCTCCTCTTCCTTTTTTTTTGGGGGAGGGGGAGGTTTACCATAGGGCAAGTGCGAGAGAGACAGTAAGAAGAGACTGTGAACTCACCCCCTGGTGGGGGTAGCCATTCTGAGTTTCAAACTGCCAGGTCCAGGACTTGAACCACCTTCAGCCATGTCGGAGTTTAGCATCTTAACCACCATACCACCTGCTGGACTTCCTTTTTGTAATGAAAGCAATTATGTGCTGTTAAGTTGATATTTGTTTTATATATATATTTTTTAAATCAAATAGTTCTTCATAGTGAAACAGCATGGTAATACTGAATATACTTTCAATTTTATTTTGTTTGTGTTGCCGAGGGAGTCACACAAAAGCCTTCTTCCCTGAGATGTACTTATGAAGTCAGATTCCCATAGGCTCTGTTTAGTTCTTCAGTAACCCAGTGGGCAGAGTGCAAGGAGTCTCCTAAAAGTTCATGGCAAATGCATATTATGGAAAAACTATGCGTGAATTTCACTTTAATTCCAGTTTCTATGAACTTTTTGAAGCCCGGTGTGTGTTGTGGTATTATCCCACTCAGGTTAGCATCTGTAAGAACTCAATGTCTAGAGTCTTCCCTGCTCTGAGATGGTATATTCTATAGACATAGCTGCATGTGGGACTGGAGTATGGATCAAGGGCATCTGTTCTTTCTGACCACTCATGTCCCATATATGATACAGCCTGCTGGTTCTTCCTGTTGATATCAGTGTTGCCACATTATGTGCATAGATAAGGAAAAAATAAGTCACAATAAAATTAGAATCAGATGTGGAATGAGCCATGTTTCGAAATTAAATGAAGGAAGTGTGGGGAGTTGTTTGCTTTGCTTTCTCTTAAGACCATAATAGCTATGATGGGACTGGCAGGTGGCATAGTGGTTGAGGTGCTGGAATCTCACATGGCAGACCATGGTTTGAGCTCCAGTTGCAGACCTGGTGGTTTCCTTTCTCACTTTTCCTGGTCAAATTAAAAAAATAATGATGGGGCTGGCAGGTGGCATGGTGGTTAAGGGTGTTGTACTCCCACATGACCGACTGCTGTTTGAGTCCTGGACCTGGCAGCTTGCTTTCTCACTCTCCCTCTCTCTCTCCTCCTCCTCTCTGATCAAATTTTAAAAATAAAAAGAGAGAAAGATAAATAAAAATAATTATTTAAAAAAATAATAATAGGGGCCGGCAAGTGGTGTGGTGGTTAAAAGCACTGGATTCCCACATGGCTGACACAGTTTGAGTCCCAGATCTGGCGACCTGCTTTGTTGCTTTCTCTGTCTCTGTCTCTGGTCAAATTAAAAAATAATAATAATAACAGCAAATGGAATTAAATAAACAAACAATTCTTTTAAAAAATGATGATGAATAAAATTAAATAAAATAATAATTAAAAAAATAAAAAGACCATAAGAACTATCTGAGAAAGAGGCTTTGGATGAGCACCGTGGAGTAGTTCTTGTGGGGATAAGGAGGATAAAATGTAAACTGAAAGGTTATCTAACTACCCTCAACATAGTCAAGTTACTGATGGACACTTCAGGTGTGCGTGCCTGTTTGTAAATTGTTGGACCATGTGATTACAGTTTTATGTATTAAAAATAACTATTCCTCAGTGCATTCCACTTTATTTTTTAGATTTGTACTATGGCGGGGAAGCTTTCTCTGTAGAGCAGCCACAGTCTTTTACTTGTCCCTATTGTGGAAAAATGGGCTATACGGAGACATCTCTTCAAGAACATGTTACTTCTGAACACGCAGAAACATCAACAGAAGTGGTAAGCAAAGCACCCTTGTGTCTATAGAGTGATGCTGTAAAGTACATTATTACTAACGTTAATGAAGCCAGTCACTCATCTGCCTCCTCGCAGTTCTCATACCGTTTGCATAATACTTACTACAACTGTCTTTTAACAGCAGATTTTTACCCGTCCTAGGAGGCTGTATTTGGCATTTGCATAAGATAATACCCCATTTGTCCACACTGGCCATTCTTGCCCTGTGGCTAAAAGCACTATATGGAATCTTGACCAAATTAAAGAGAACCCTTCATTCAATGCATTCTGAAAAAAAGTTCAAAGGGGCAGCGTGCAATGCATCTTTTTTGAGAATATTCTTGCCTTGGTACCTACCTAATTTACATTCTTTCTTTTTTTTTTGTTGGAGGTTTTTGCTACTGGATGCGTACACTCGCCAGAAAGAGAAAGAAAGTGAGAAATTGTCCCCCCAGGTAGGTGGCCACGCCGCAATCCCTTCTCTTCCATTCTCCTTTCAGGATCTTGGGCACGTGCACGCACATGCCTGGTGTGAGTTTAAGCCACCGGGTCCAGGACTTGAACTGTGCTCAACTACATGGGAGTCCAGCGACGTAGGCATTACGCCATCTGCTGGTCCCCTAGTTTATGTTTTTAAAGGAGCTTTTATAAGGAAATTTAAAAATCTTTGGTCCTGTATTAAGCAGTAATCTATTGCCATATCATATCATTGACTTGACTTTATTTATATCAGATCAAAGCTCTGAGGTCTTTAGTTGTTCTCCTACCCTAATCTTTTCCAGTGGCTAACCACCAAAACCCCAGAATATACACAAAGTCTTACCTTGAAAGCTTTTTGTATTTTTTACTTGACATTTGAGTCAGCATGCATCCAAATTCAGGAAATGAGAAGGTACATCCCAAAGAGCCTCTCCTGCACCTCTCTGCCATTTGTAATAATAGGTAAAGTGAAGGCAGGTCTGGGACTTAGACATTGAATTTGGGCAGAAGCAATTGCATATTGTTTCAACTAATGTTGCAACATTGTTTCAACTACTAAGCCCAAATTGTACTCAAAACCAATTAACTGAAACCCTGACACATAAAATAGCTCAAGGACATATATATAGCTAGGAAGCTAGTAAGAGGTAGAGGCAGAAGAGGCAGACGCAGGTGTTTGAGATCAGCCATCTTCTCTGGGTTCTCATCTCTATAACTTCCCTACAGCTCTACAGTCATGAGTAATACACGCTCACTTTCATTCCCATTGATACTGCTAATTGGACGCTTGTTACAAGATTTATCGTTTAAGCAATTGGTAAATTTGTGTGTGTGTGTGTGTGTGCATTTATAGTCCTCCAGGCAAATCTTACTCTCTAACAGCTCATAATGCTCACATCTTGCACCTGGGGCGTCTCAGAGTGCTGTGGTCACATTTTATTACTGCTCTTAGTTCATTCTTTCTGTTCTCCCTCATGGTATAGCCCCAGATCCTACTAGAAAGAATCCTGACTCAGTCACATCTCTATCTTGGTTCTGTGGAAAACTTGCAGTCTTTTTTTTTAATTATTATTATTTTATTTAATTTCCATTAAGTTTGGGTACTTTACATACAGTAAAGCAAATAGTTGTGGGGGAGGTTCCCTTACTGTAAATGAGATGTTCTTAGAGTTCTATTAGCCGGTGAGCTCAGATACAGTACTTTTACCACACCACTGGGCAGGACAGCCACACCATTTTCCATTTCCACAATGGAAGACTACAATGGAAACTTAAGTCCTTTCAGTGAACTTTTCAAAAAGTAAATTGTTTAGTCTTACTACTTCTTTTTTTTTTATTTTTATTTTTTATTTTTAATCGCCAAAGAGAAACAGAAGGACAGGTGGGAGTTTGGGAGAGAGCACCTCCCAGTGGGGTGCGATCATGCTGCAGTTCCCTCTCCTGTTTCTCCATCCTGTCAGAATCGTGGGCACACATGCACATGCCTGACACATTTTGCAAGGTGTGGGATCTGGGATTCAAACTGCGTGACCAGCCATGTGGGATCTGGCACTGGGACTGGTCAAATTCAGTCTTACAAGAATCAACCTCCAGGATGCTCGGCTCTATTTTTTCCCTAAGGGTAAATATTCAAAACTCGTTTGTATTTCTCTATACCTGGCACATTTTGAAAATTAAACACTCAGCATAAATTGTGTTCAGTTACGTGGCTTCATTGAATTCCCAAACTTTTGCTACATAGCCCAAAGCAGTGGCCATCCTGTTTTTTCAGTGTGGTTTTTGTGAAAATTTAGGAATTTCTCCAGCCTCATTAGCCTTTAGTTTTTGCATGAGGACTACACCTGTTTCCCCACCAATAACACCCCAAGATACCTTGAACTGAAAATGAAAAATAGACAAGAATTTTAGATATAAAGGTACAGGGATTTTTCTTATTTGCATCATGTGGGTCAGTCCCAAGAGCCAGGACTGGTATTCATCGGGGGCACTTGGGCAGGATTTCTGGACTGGTGTCCATTCTGGAGGATTTTTAATGTCTAGGTAATATTATCGCCTCATCCCCCCATGTTTTGCTGATTGAAACATTTTTAAATTAACTATTGTGTCGTCGGAAAAGTCATGACTCATTTTTACATAGAAAAATATGTCATGACTTTTCTGACGACCCAATAGTTCAGGAACAACTCAACATCACTTTGGGTGGAGGATTATATTCATACAACTGGCTTTATCTCCTTTTTTATTCCTGTTAAAAATATTTCTGGGACCAGCGGGTGGCATAGTGGTAAGGCGCCGGACTCCCATATGGCCAACTGTGGTTCAAGTCCCAGGCCCACTGGCTTGAAACTCATACCAGATGTTTGTGTTTGCATGCCCAAGATCCCAAGAGGAGAACAGAGAAGGGATTGCAGCATGGCCATCCTCCCAGAGGATGATTTCTCACTTTCTCTCTCTCTGGTGAGTGCACATGCCCTATGGCAAATAAAACTCTTAGAAAGGAAAAATTTTAGAGAGATTGTTAATATAGGGTGCATACACTCACTGAAGAGACAGAGAGACCAAAAGGGAGAAATCCCCCCCAGGGGAGATGGCCACACCTCAGCCCCTTCTCCTCCATTCTCCTCTTAGAATTTTGGCACACACGCACATGTGCCTGGTATGAGTTTCAAGTTGCCGGGTCCAGGATTCAAACTGGTCGGCTATGTGGGAGTCGAGTGATGTACCACTATGCCATATGCTGGTCTCAAGAATTTTTTTTTTTTAATACTCAATTTGCTATCTTGCTTTGCCTGTGTTACCAGCATTTGTCCTCTGGACCACAAATTTGTACATCCCTGTAGGACTTAAAGATTTGCCCTTCCAAACCAGCATCCCTTTGGAAGAATTAAGGGGCAAAAGGATATACCACAGCAAATATCACTATCGCTGCCAGTAAATGTTTATTCTGATACCTGACATAGTAAGAAAATTAATGAAGGATTTTTTTTTTTTTTCCAAGAGATTTTTGCTATAGGGTGTGTGTGCTCAACAGCGTGACCCAGACAGACAGAAGGCAAGAAATCCCCCCAGGGGAATTGGCCATGTTATGGTCTCTTCTCCTCTCGGTTTTTTTGGCAAGCATGCACATGCACCCGGTGTATTTTAAGCTGCCAGGTCCAGGACTCAAACCACACAGTTGGCTACAGGGGAGTCCAGTGATGTAATCATTACACCATCTCCTGGTCCCAGACTACGATTTTTTTAAGTCTGTTTATTTTCCCCATAAGTTTGGGAGAGAAATGTTATCTCCAGTAGGGTCCACCTCCAGCTTCAGCCAGCCTGAGATCATGGGCACACAGTTGTCCAGCATTCTCAAGAGAGGTCTGCAGGCAGGAACCCAGAACCTTTCCATGTGGGTCGGCCTCATGGAGTTTCATGGTTTACCACTGTTACCACTATCTGGCTCCAAGCATACATTTTTTAAAAATAATTATTTGTTGGGACCAGCAGTTAGCGTAATGGCTATGTTGCTGGACTCCCATGTAGTCGACCGCAATTCAAGTCCCAGACCCAGTGGCTTAAACTCACGCCGGGCGCATGTGCATGCTTGCCCAAGATCCCAAGAGGAGAATGGAGGAAAAGGGATTGCAGCATGGCCATCCCCCAGGGGGGTGATTTCTCGCTTGCTGTCTCTGTCTTTCTGGTGAGTGCACGTGCCCTATAGCAAAAACCTCCAAAAAAAAAAAATAGAATTTTTGTTTATTTACCTCCATTTGTTTTTATTATTTTTTAATTTGACCAGAAAGAGACAGAGAGAGAAGGGGAAAACACGAAGGCAAGCCCTACCAGCTTTGGGACTCAAACTGCAGTTGCCTATGTGGGAATCCAGAACCTTTAACCACCATGCCTCCTGCTGGCTCCTCCAAGGATAATTTTTTGAAGAAATTTTTGTAGCGTTTGTCTATACTTTCTGCCTCCTTTTTCAACTAGAAATTCTATTGCCAAATGTAAGCTCTCTCTTCCTTTTTAAAAATATCTGTTACTTTTTTCATATTTTTAAAATTTATTTTATTTGTAATAGAACATATGAGAGAGAGAAAAACCCTTCACAGGATTTGGTCACCCTGAGCGCCGCCTCCAGCAGTCCCAGCCTGTCGGATCTTGAGCACTCACATGTGTGTCTGGTGTGCTTCAGGCTGGCGAGGCTGGGGACTCAAGGCACAGTCACCCTGTGGGGATCCACCTTATCAGCAGTGCATTACTGCTGCACCTCAGAGCCAGCCCTCCTCTCTCTTAACTTAGAGCTAGCTGGTGGCAGGGTGGTTAAGGCAGCTAGATCCCGCAGGGCTGACTGTGCTATTGCTCCAGTGGCTTGAGAAACACATTGTGGGTGCAGTTGGCAGGTGGCGTAGTGGTTAAGGGCGCTGGACTTCCACATGGCTGACTGCAATTTGAGTCCCCTACCTGACGACTTGCTTTCTCGCATTCTCTCTCTTCCTCTGTCCCTCTCTGGCCAAATTAAAATAAATAAAGAAATGAAAAAA